GTAAACAGGAGATCCTGGGTTCAAATCCCAGCAGTGCCTGTTCGCTGTGTTTTTGTAGCGTTTCCTTTCAGCAGGAATCTAAAGTCTCACTTTCTAATAAATTATGATTTTACACTTGGTCTCGACTTGCAGGCTTTTATAAACACGCTCAGAATGCTAGCTTATCGTACACATCTATCAAAAAATGGTAAAAGGCTGTTGTTTTGTAGCAACCTTCCTCTGAATGCGTGCATCCCTGCAGTCACCAGCCTCCCGCATGATGTCAATTGTCAGGGTCACATGAAGTCCAATGGATCTTAGGCCTGATTAAAGGGGGAAGTAATGAAGTTGTACTAAAAGGCACGGCTGGGATTTGAACCCAGGACTTCCTGTTTACGAAACAGGTGCTTTGATCAGCTAAGCTGCAGAGCCTTGGGCCTGAGGTTTGGGGTTTCTCAGTATTGTTGCTAACTTACAATCTAAAGCACCTCGAGGTAACTGCTGCTGTGATTTGGAGATAAAAATAAAGATCCAGAACCCCCAAGTGTTCAGGAACAGTGTCACTGTTAGCTTCTTCTTCTGTTCCCAGACTGAATTTAAAGTGAAGCCTAAACCGCCTCCACCAAATAAAGTCATGCTGATGCAGCGTTAACAACAGGACTTTCTGTTGGTGTGTAGAGCAACCTGAAACTTCTCAGGGATGAAATATCAACACAAAAATAAAACCAGTCGACAAAAATACGACTTGGTGTCCTCAACGGTGGCTGTCCCACAGTGTGCCAAAGTGCTCTTACATACAGAACTGATGACATCACTGTGGGGCTTCACGTGGATGATGTGGATTCATGTGACCTCACAGCTAACTCATGAGAGCAGGAACGTCTGTTTTTCTGTCTAAAATCGAAACGTCTTCCAGCTCTGTGAGAAGCTCCTCTTGTGTTTGTCTCTGAGAAACCGTGAAAGTCGAGGCCTCGCCCTGCCGACGCACTGTTTCTGTAACGTGTCCAGATTAGGTTGTGCGGACGTTTTAAAGCTGATTAAATCTTTTCCCATTTCATGGATTGTTTCGTGGAAAACCGTTTCAGGATGAACGAGTGCACGCTGACCTGTGAAAGGTGACTCACACGTGGTCGTCTCTGTGTTTCGACAGATCTCTCCAGGCAGCAAGGCGGCGCAGGGCAACCTGATGCAGGGTGATGTCATCGTCGCCATCGATGGCGTCAGCACCGAGGGGATGACTCACCTGGAGGCCCAGAACAAAATCAAGATGGCAAACTACAACCTGGCACTCACCATGTCCAAGTAAGAACCGACTCCTCCCCGCTCACACTTCCTGTCTGTAACAGCTTCCTGTTTGTCCTCAGATGTTGATGTGAAAACCTTTTAGGCCCCACACAGGTGAC